ATACTCCGAGATATTTGGTACAAGGTACCAAGGTCGTTCAAAGCCAACCATTGGTTAAATGACATTGCATTTCTATAGGTAACTAACAGTTTGTATTAAACCCAAACTTAATCTACCTATAAATATACTCAGTTTACAATCTACCTTATTTGGGTCACTTCGCTCTCTTTAATAAAAGAGAGGACCTGTGAACTGCTGTTCACTGAGAGTTTGTATACTCTCGGAAGATAACTTCCTCTTGCGCAAGGTGCTGTGTGACCTCGTCACAGGCGGGCCCCAGTCCGAGATTCTAAGCGGGCTTACCGTTGTGGAGTGATGAAAACGGCGCCGCTAGGCGAGTTTGCCTCCTTCTGGAGGGGGCCATGCTACAGAGGCCCGTGTATTTCGCGTGTAGGGAAGACTGGGGCGGAGAGCCGACGTGAAAGTCGAAAGCACTTTCTTTCATTACGGACCTGATCGATTTAACCCAGGGAGGCAGGAGAGGGTATTTTACCCCAGAGCATGGTGAAGTAGGCTCTGTTGGCAAAGATATTGCTAACCTTCCAGAAGTATTTTTTTGTATGATACTAGCGACAATGAAGATACAGAGAGAGTGAGTGATGAAGCTAGTGATTGCGGCTCTAATACAGCACATCAGCCAAATGAATATCGCGAAGAGTATTGCGCTCCGCCTATTTCGCCTCGTGAGATTATCAGTTTAATGGAGAGTGGTGACGAAAGCAGCCATGACAAGACTGAATGCAACGACGTTGACACCGGATGTCACGATGAAATCGACAATGTGTACTGGACTGTCACACCAGATATAATTTATTTGGACGAGTCCAGCGACGAAAACGACAGCAGGTCTAGCGAACGTTCTCACGGAGCTTCTGAGACGGGCGAAAATGAGAAAGCGAACATTTTGCTCCTACAGAAAGATAATGACGTAGTTCCATGGCCTTCTGATGTAATGGAGATAACCAATACCGAGAACCCAAACAACATTTTGGTACCCGATTTAGGGCCGATGGATTGGTGTGGCTGCGACAAAATTTGCCGACCGGATGGTTGCCCAAATGCACTGGGTAGCATATTTTGTGCTCGGAATAACTGCCTCGACGGATCTGACTGTGGCAATCGACTGAGAACTGTGAGTGGCCTGCACCTAGTGCGTGGAAATATTGGATACTCTGTTTTCACGTCTGAGGATATTGAAAGTGGAAGTATTGTTGCTGAGTACGCTGGTGTGTTGACAACACACGACTACCGTAAGGACAAGAAAAGAACCAGCAACTACACCATCGGTTTGGCCGCGCGGTCGTCGCGCAAGGAGAACTTGTGGATCGAGGCGAAATTCAAGGGAAACATTACGCGGTTCATGAATCATTCCTGTGCGGCAAATTGCCGATTTTACGAGGTTCAAAACCGCCGCTTCGTCACGGTGGTTGTCGCTACGATGGAGGATATTCAAGCTGGAAGCGAGGTCACTGTTGATTATGGCGATGAATTATGGTTTAAATGCCAGTGTGGTGCGGATGGATGCTGTGGTGAATCTATCATTAGCAGTGACGATTCTTCTTAAGGGTTACTATAACGCAAAAACCCGGAATTGAGTAGCTTTCTAAATGCACAAACAAAACAAAAAAACATGAAAGTGACTTCATTATTGCTCGATCGCGAATGAGGGACACTAATAAAAACCCGGAGTTGAGTGACCTTCTAAATGCTCAAACAAAACAAAAAAAACACAAAATTGACCTTTTTGTTGCTCTATAGCGACTGAGGGACACTCTTTTTGAATGTGCTATGTGCCATCCGATTGCGTGCATGAACGCTTGTTGTGGCCTTTCCGATGGCAACTTGAGCAACTCTGTGAAGATCTATTCCCGTTTTCTCCAACACTTCTTATGCGCTTCGTCTTGGGGCGTCCCGGTTTCTTTGTAAAAACTGCAGGTAGCCATTCGGAACTCTGAGTGATGTCTGATTCTATCGGTATAAAGACAGCTTTGGCGTGGAGTGCATTGGCATACACCGACACTTTATAACACGGCTGAAAGTGTGTGTACACGTCCAAACGGTTGCCAGCTACACATTTTGACACACAACCCTCACTTTCATACACCTGTTGGCGTTTGTTTTGAGACTGTCACATACTGTCAATACCAATGGCAGCCCATAGACTTATTGACACACGTTTCACATATACTGACAAAACGTTTCAGGATGATACACGCTCTGACGTTTTTCCTATGTGAATTGGTTGGTCTGTCCGGAATGAATAATCCTCGTAGCTTAAATCGATTTGATCGCTTCAATTTCAATCAAATCGTATGGGCACCATTCCGGATTCCGTCCGGAATCGGCCAATTACTAGAGAGATTTCGAAGAGAGCCAATCTTGGTCCGAGTCCTCGTTCGTAAAACGGGAATAGACCAAGACTAGGAATGCGAAGCAAGAGGTTTCGCTACAAATCTCAGTCCACTCTGCGAAAAGCCTTCGAGCATTAACTAATTGAGGTAATCTTCGCCGTTCCAAAGCAGTTGGCCGGCACCAACCATGACGAATGGTGCTCCTTCACGAGCTCCGTTGTTCTGCTCGAAGCATTCGCTTTTGATCTCTAGCCCACCAAGATGCCAACATTTCGTAAACCTCCAAAGGAGAGTGCCCAGTCGACTGAGGCACCTTCAACAGCCACGACAACAGTGTCCTCCTCGAAATCGATTACAAAAAGAAAAAAAATCAGCAAGCACGACGACCTACTACTACTCCGGCAAGTTAACGCAGTCCAGCCTTTTGCTAGTGTTCGAGGCAGCCTTATGGATGCGTGGACGTCTCTCGCCAACAAGGTGAAAGTCGTGCAGGGGTTTTCCAAGCAGGAGATTACTGGCAAGTCGGCACAGGCACGGTTCAATGTACTGGTGGAAAACCATCGAGAAGCCGACAAAAAGTCGGCGGCAGCTTCGGGAGTCTCAGAGGATTACACGGAGTCGCAGCAGCTTCTGGACGAGATAGTGCTGGCTGTAGATGAGCATGTTAGAGAAGAGGCGCAGTGGGCTCTGGAGTTGAAGGAAAAGCTCGAGTCAGAAGATAACGTTGGTAAGCTAATGCGGGAGGAAGCTGTATCGCGCCTGAAGAAGCGGAAGGACAGAGGTGAAGAGAGCGAGTCTGAGAAGCCGTCGCCGCGCAAGGTAACCATCTACGACCTGATGCGTGAGGACAACGAAAAAGAGCGCCAAATGCGAGCTGAGCAATTTCAGCAGAAGCAAGAGTTGCAGCGAAAGCAGAAGGAAATAGAGCTTCAGGACCGGAAAGAGGAGCGAGAATTTAAGCTTCGTCTTCCTCGATTAGAAAACGAACGCTACGGAAACCTGCTAAAGCTAGCTCTGCTCAAGGCGCGTGGTGGAACGGCGCTCGATGGAATTGTTGGAGAGGTCGGTGACGTGGGCGAAGATGCAGGGGTTGGAGTGAGCGATGGTGTCTTGGGTCTTGAAGGTGGTGCTTGACCGAGCGCAGGAATTTCACCTTCTACCCCAGATAATCCTGTAAGCTGGGTGGTGGCAGATCGAAATACTGGCTGATTTGGTTGCCTCCGTAGTAGCAGTTGTGGCAGTTCGTTAGGAGCATAGCAACTTTAACAAACTTACCGACTGGTGACAAGCGAACCTTTTGCTGTTTATTGTATTCGACGTACGACCACAGAGTTTTCATACACTTGAAATTCCATTCCACCGATTCACGAAGACGACTCATCTCGCTGTTGAAGTCACTTTCGTCGGCACTTACAGAATTTCCTTTATATCCACTGACGATGTACTTACGTGTTCCATACGCAGGGTTACCATAAAGGAGCTTCCCCTCAAACGTGTCTTGGTGTTCATCAAAGTATTCTAGAAGACCACTTTCCCGCAGCATGGTGCTGTCGTGGCGGCGTCCCTCCATGGGACCCCAGAAATGGATACAAAGCCCGTCAGGTGCCGTCACGGCTTGGTAGTTCAGGCAGTGAATGCGCTTGTGCCCGCTGTACAGATGCTTCTGCAGGTTCTCACCTCTTTCGCCATGACGGCGAGGTGAAGGACGACAAACCGCCACCTTGGTGCCGTCGGGGAACCCAAATACGCCCTCCGTCGGAGCCCCTTTCGCCTCGACGGCTTCGCCATACTCCTCCATGCGGGCGCTAACGATCGATTCAGCCATGAACAGCTTGTCCGCAAACGTGTCGTGCACGTAGTCGATCATGTGCAAGAATACACGACACAACCACGCTGTACCCCTTCCAAACGTCTTCATCATGTCGTAGTAGCGCGTTGGAAACGCTAAGCGAGCTAGCATCACGCAGAGGGCAGTGTCACCGAAACAAGTGTCGCCATGTGCCGTCACTACAGTGTCAGGGATGCGCAGCAGAGACCGTGGCTCGTAGACGCCAGCCACATCGAAGCGAAACTCAAGCTCGCTGTTTGCATCGGTGTAGCTAGCGAGGTCAAACGTCACAGCAGGAATCGAAGGCCGCTCAACTTGGTCGAGCAGCAACATGAAGCGAAGCTTTTCTTGCGGCTCATGTACTTGTTCTTGGCGATGTACTACTGCAGCAACGCAGTCTCCGACGACACCATACTGGTGGTGGCTGTGAAAGATTGGTTGTGAGAGGTCTCCAACCGGACAGGACATTCCTAAGAAAACCAGATTCCTAAGACTGTCTTGACAACAATTCCTGGTTCGTGCTCGATGCTGCACTTTTCATGAACGTCAACCGAGAACGGACCAAGAATTGGTGGGGCCGAAATCCTCTCTACTGTCGTGGACTGCTGATCCTGAACCAGCAAATGCGTTGACCATACCTTGTACCTTTTCGCAACCGGCACCATAAATAAATGTGTAGCCACTGATCACTCTGCAATGACAGTGCCAAAACTGCGGTCAAAACCATGTTACTCCGTGCAATCAATTCAATACACCTGTTGAAACCCTTCGTGCGGTATCCGCTGTCTTCCCTTGTCATTCTCTTTCTCGCCCTTCTGTACATGGTCGCACATACTCTCATGAAACCTGTACCTGGCAACTCCAGTGCAGCTGCACGCTCCAAACGACGACACTGCATATGGGGTGTCATGGTCTCCGTTATCACGCTAGTGTCATTCCATAACTTTTGCAAAAGTTTCGAGTCGTTCCAGTCAAGCGGCGACGTTGGTAGCGCCGAGTCCCTCGACACTAAACGACTACAAATGTACCCATTTGGGATTCCCCATTACCAGAAAGCGGTCCATCATCTCGTGCAAGAAGAAGAGAAGGTCGAGCCAGCGAAATGGACGCCTAGTAAGGGATCCAAAGACGAGTGTCTCTACGCTCGGGACTACGGACTGATCCAACGGCTACGGAACACGTCGCGGTCATTTTGTACTCAAGGAGGCAACAGCAGCTCGCCATACACGTTTTATCACGTGTCAGACGCTGGCGTAAGTGCGACGTTGCTCGAGAACTTTGTGTTGGATGTACGAGGCGCACAAGTGGCCAAGGACATCGACAGTCTGGCTGATGATGGTGGCAACCACGACCCACGCTTTAAGTACATGAAGAACGCGACGTTCTGTAGCTGTTCGCAGCCGCAGGATCACGCTCACGGAGCTCCAAACATCTGGAACGAATTCTTCGTAGGAGGACCTGGTGACAACGACCCTACCTGCAAGACCGACACAGTTGACCGAGCTGTCGATGACACGATGACGTTGAAACAAGCCGTAGTGTTGGTGCGGAGAGATGACCACAACCCGTTCTTCCAGATCTCTGGGATTCTAAACGCGTGGATAATGGTGCAGACTATCGGGTGGGAAAGAGACTCAACGCAACTCGTGACCTTTGATCGCGCGCTACCGACTCCAGTTGACGAGCTCCGACACGCTCTGCTTGGCCCTGAGCGTCTAATTATCAGCGGAGAAGAGTTCCAGCACCGAGTTGTGCACTTCGAATCGGCTTTGTTGGCTCCGTACGAAGTCACAGGCCCGCTTATGAGTCATCTGGACGACAATCAGCCCTGCTATGACAATGCTATGATCAAAGAATTCAGAGACTTGGCACTCAAAAGTCTACGAGTAGCTCCACGCGACGGCAAAAGCGACCCACAGCGATGCCTTGTGACCGTCATCTCGCGCAGACCTTACGGTGGTCGTCGTGTACAGCGCCAATGGCGGAACGAAGCCGAAATCCTTCAACGAATGCGTGAGGAATACCAAGACGCGTATCGATTTGGAGAGTGCGAGTTCCAGTCTCTCGAGCTCACGAGCATGACGATGCACGACCAAATGAAATCTATGCTGGACAGCGACGTGGTGATCGGAATGCACGGCGCTGGGATGGTTAACGCCATGTGGACGCGTCCTGGCACGCTCGTTATTGAAATATTCCCACGAAGACGATTTCGATGGGGCTATCGCAATATTTGCCAGTTTGTCGGCTGCAAGTGGCACGATTTCCGTCGAGGAAGAGACATCAAGATCCACACGACGCTTTCGACCGATATGGACAAAATCATCCCGTACCCAGAGTGGAAGAGCTTCTTCGACCCGTTGTTCCAAAATGTAGTGGACGAACTCGAGTGGAAGGTCAAAAAATTAAGTTAACTAACAGTAATAGCTTTTTTTTTTACTTTTTTTCAATTTTAAGTAAGAAATGAAGATAACTTCGTACGTAAAAGTATGAATTTACAAGAGTTTCACTTGTTGTTTTCTTAAGTAGCTTTATGACGCTTGTTGGCTGAAGTTGAAGGGCGATCGTTAGTGTCGTGTTCACTACTGGCTTCTGGTAGTACTGAAAGGAGAACAGTTAGATTACTGAAGTAGTGCAGAGGTGGCTGGCCATACACACGAGATTTTACCTGGTAGTTTCCTGACAACCTTCTTCTTGCTAGACAGCACGTGTTCCGTGGTCTTTTGCCCGTAAATCTGTGGAAGAATGAGTTCAGCTCAATGACAGAACGATGCAACACAAACAACACTCGTTATGTATACCTTGGACGACGGGGACGGTGGCGGAAGTGTCGTACTGAACTGGCGAATGTAGGTACGGAAGGCATGCTGCAGCAAACAAAACCGTGTGAGTCGAGCATAGAAGTGACCAAAGTGTTGTACATGTAGTAGCTTGTACCTGGATTGCAGCATGGACCTTGAGTGATTTGTTTCGGCTATACACGCGTATAATCCGCTCTTCAAACTGCAGCCAAGTATACAGTTAGCAAGAGCATTCTTCTCCGACACAAAAGCATACAGCGCGTACCTTCTCGGGGAACAGCAAGCTGACTTCCTCCTTGGGGATGTGGAACTTGGAGTTCAGATCACTGGACGCGTAGAACGAGACGTTGTCCACGGGGTTGCGGTCTTTAAAGTTGTAGTTTAGTCGGCCATCGGACACGATAATGTCTTCCGGGTCCAGCGTCACACCGTCCAGAGAAGTCTGAGTGGCCAATTCTTCGGCGGTGAAGCGAGGGATGCGCGACATCAAGTGAGGAGGCAGCAGATACTCGTCAATGAACTCGTAAAGTTCGCGGCGACGCACACGCTTAAGCAGCGCGCGTGCGTCAGCTAGCGAGTCGGTCTTGGACGCTTCGATCGACTGCATTTAGACAGCACAATAAGTGAGTCTCAACATTCAATGCCAGCGCTAAGAAATCGACTCCAAGACGCACATGAACGACGTGATCTGTGAGGAACTGGAAGTCCCGAGGCGTCTGCGTAGCGGCAGAAATGCCCAGCTCCTTGTCAGCTAGCAGCATCGCGTCGCAGATCATGAACTCGACCGCTTTGCCCTTGCGGTGATTGTAGATCTGTTTGTGCATCTGATAGCGTTGCTGGAACATGTCGTAGATGTCCAGATTCACACTTGTGTGGTAGCAAATCTCGTTGCCGATCACGCGGTTGAACATGGTGAGTCGAGAAAAGTCAAACACCTTCCGCAGTCCGAAGAGATTGAGCATATCTCGAGCCAAGTAGTCGAACTTGTCCACGTCGATGCAGTTGCGTCCATTCGCCACAATCTCGTACAGATAACCTCTGGAGTCCACACGCGAGCCCATGTGCGTTCTGTATACCACGGGGTAAGGTCGTTCAGTACCCAATCCAGTCGTTTACTCAGTCCATTTTTCACTCACTCTTTAGCGCCAACAATAAGCTGCTGGATGAAGCGCATGTCGTCTCGCTCGAGGTCAATGTTGTTGTCGTCCACCATGTACTCAATCATACGCAGCGACATGTCTTCGTGGTGATACGTCGGTGCATCTGCGCTACCGTATCCTCTCGCAGCGGCCACACGTGGCATGAACTCGTGCTCGAACACGTGCGAGAATGGTCCGTGGCCTAAATCGTGCAGTAATCCCGCTGCGCTCTTCACTTCCACAGCCATGAGCCTATCAATCTTCTACTCAGATAATTGGCAGCATTCGTACCAGAAGGCGAGCGTCTCGCTGCGTCAGCTCCAGCTCCGGTTGTTGCTGTCGGAACCGCTCGACGGTCTGTCCAGAGAGGAAGCTGACACCCAGAGAGTGCTCGAAGCGGTTGTGCGAGGCTCCAGGGAAGACGTAGTAGAGCGTGCCGAGCTGCTTGAGGTCTCGCAGTCGCTGGAACTGCGGTGTGTCCATGAGCGACACGCACAGCCCATTCAGTTTGATGTAACCGTGCACTTGGTCTGTTCTCAGATGTAGCACAACCTGGTTAGAGACCGCTCTATCACTGCATCTACCCAGATTTATTTTGATATAAACCCACCATTGAAGAGCTTAGCACGCGGGTCGTCCGCCACAGGCCACACACTGGCCATTGTCGCTGCGCTGCTGCTGTTCTCTGAGTACTACTCAGCTAGTCGATAGGCGAGAGATTCGCGACACGTACGGGCCACTATTCCGGCTGACAGGCCAGTATTCAGAGCACATTTATTTGTATGTCAACCACATTATTTATTGCAGCTACGTACAACACATCATTTCACATTCGATCTTTGCGACTGATTAACACTCTTCCCATACTGAATCCAAGTGACATTTATGGCCGACGTAGCGTATGTGCAGCTCTCAGGGGCGTCGTCCAGGCCAACACTGGGGCTGTACGCGGGCATGTCGCCGCTCGAGCTGCAGCAGCTGGTGCGTGCGGCCTTAAGCCATCACGATGGTGTCTGCGCCGGCTTTCAGGTGGCTCCTACGACCTCAAACGCACGGAAGAAGCGCCCTTCCAGCTCGATTCAGCGCCTTGTACCGCTCTCCGTGGCCTGTAAAGCGCCAGAACTACTCTCAGGACGCGTCTCCGCTCTGTTTGCACCTTGCGGGGGCTCTCCGAACGCTCTGAAGCCTCAGAACGAGGTGTCAGAGTCTTCCAGCGACGTAATCAGGCTTCACAGGCTGCTAAAGGCGTTGGAGAGCGAGCAGAAGCTCAGTAGCTTCGAGTCTGCCGTGCTCCGAGACCTCTGTGAGCAACAGAGTGCGCGAGTGCTCGCTGCGATGGCTGGAAACGCGTCCGTGGCCCAAAAGAAGCGCTTTTTGCTGGATCTGCTGCGTCCCGAGGGCTCTATCGGGCTCAAAACCGAGCTACAGACCTCTCACCACACGGACAAGGGCGAGGAATCTCTGCACGCTGAGCTGGTGGCCAAGAAAGTGGCTGCAATCGGCAGACGAGTCTTCAGTCCTCAAGTTCAGATGCAGATTTTGGCTCTCAGTCGCGACGGCTGGAAGATCTCTGGCAGCAAGAGTGATGGTCGCTTCGTCGACACCATGGAGCTGCTGAATATGGTGGAGAGACTGCTGGACAAGCACGTGCTGCCTGAGGATCACGGCGCGCACCTGCTGGAGCTGGTGCTGGGCCAGAATACGGTGCTGTGGAGCGCTCTACAGAGCTTCAAGAACGACGGGGGCAGCTTGTCAGACTTGGAGACGACCGCCAAGCGCCTGGCAGCGCTGGGGGTCGACCCGCCGAGGCCTATCGCCCGTAAGAAGAGCAGAAAGAGCCCCAGGAAGCTCAGTAAGAGCAGTAAAAGCAGCTCACCCGCCAAGAAGAGAGTGAGCTCAGCCCTGGCGGTCATGACGTCGCTCCATACGCAGCAGATGCTGACGAGTCTGGAGCTGGATATTATCCAAGCGCTGGTGGCTCAAGACGACACGCAAGTGCTCCAGCTCTTGTGCGACTTTGAGCTGGGAGACGGCGACGTCTCGGCGCTGCGAGACGCCCTAGTGGGGATCGTGGAGGAGATCACGATGGAGCTCGGAGACGAGGAGAAGGCGGCGGCGGCTTTCGCGCGGGGCTTGGACGACGCCGTGCGAGAGGAGGATCCGCTTGTGGACAGCGACGACGACAGCGACTCGCTGGGCTGGCAGAGACACTTGAGCTTCTTGCTGGGACAGTGGCAAGCGCAGCATCATCTGACGCCGACTGCGGCCAAGACGCTGCGGCGGATGGTGGCGCAGCGTCACAACTTGCTGGAGAGCGCGTACGAAGTGTTCGCGGGCGATGGAGACGCCAGTGAACTGCTGGATACGCTGCAACGCGTGGCCAAACTACAGCGACAGATTGAGCAGAGCCAAGCAGGCCAGCGCGTCCTGAATACAACGTCGGCCAGCGGTGTTAGCTTGGAAGATGTGGTGCGCCAGATGCAGCGCCGCGGGACGATTCAGGCTGGAGACGCCGCTGGGTTGCTGGTGCTGTTTCACGGAGGCAACGAGGCTCTACAGGCTGCGAACGAGGCGTTCCAGGCCGACGAAGACGTCCATGAGCTGGAGGACACGCTGCTGCTTGTGGTGAAGCACGCGCGCTTTGGAAGTGACGCCGAAGAGGAGACAGTCGACGAGGTCCAGTCGGTGGCTCGTCTTCTCGCTGAGTTTGGACGCAGTGGTCGCCTGGAGCTGTGGCAGATCCAGCTGCTCATGTCTCTGGTCAAGGCTCACGACCCTCGCTTGCTGGCTGCAGTGGATGTGTACGACGAAGACAAGAACATGGAGGAGCTGGTGGACACGCTGGAGATCTTGGTCGAGCTGGCAGCGTGGGAGCGTCATCGGCGAGCGATGGTACACGACTGGATCGCCCCCTTAGCGAGAAGTAACAAGCTTCCTCGTGGCGGAGCGGAGCGTCTGGTGCAGCTGGTGAAGGCTCGAGACGACCGAGTGGTGGCTGCGCTTGTGGTGTTTTTGAGTGACAACAACAGGGACGAGTTTGTGGACACGCTGGTTCGGATTGCGTGTCTCGAGGCGATGAAGCTGAAGTATGTGCAGGCCGATGCGTCGAGAGAGGGTCATTTGGTCTTGGACTTACTGAAGGAGCTGGAAGGGAAGGGCGTCATGACTGGCGAAGAGCGGGAGCAGGTGGAAGAGCTGGTGTGTCGGGGCGAGGCCAGAATGCTGGCGGCTATGGACGTGTTGGCAGCGACGCATGAAGCGGAGGACTTTGCAGATACGGCTCGTCGTGTCTTGGCCAAGACGGACGAGCGCGTCGAAGAGAAGGAGCTGGACGCTGTCGCGTTGGACGAGCAGAAGATTGAGGCGCCGTCTGATGATGTGGAAGTGAGCGCTTCGGTGTCGGAGAAGAACGAGGAAGAGGCTGCAGGTGAAGAGAGTTCTCAGACTGAGGAGCAGCAATTGACTTGTGACAAGACTGAGGAAGGTGAAGAGAGTGAGGCAGAACACCAAGAAGACGAGGAATCAAGAGAAAAGAAAGAAAATGAGAATGGCGAAGAGGAGGCTGCCGTGGAGGTGGAAGGTACGGAAGAAGTGGCGGAAACCAGCGAGAAGGAGCAAGAGGTCGAAGCTAAGGATGCTTTAGAGAAGGAACAGAAGGATGACGATTAATGGCAAGCTGGTAGATTATAACCACAACGTGGAAGGCAAATCGAAAAAAACTTAACTTAACAAGAAAAAAAAGGTTTTTTTTGTTAAAATGTTCGAGAGCTATTTTACTTTTCTTCACCACGAGCGAAGTAACCCGCAAAAAGACACGGACTTTTCGGTATTAGCAACACGAGACGCCTTGACCCGCTCCAGTGTCTTGTGTTGAGTTCTGAAATATCCCCATTTCTCCTCCACTTCTCTGCTCTCGACTGACTTTCGTAGCAGTTCAGCGATCTTGGCATTGCACCCCGTTGTCATGTTGGGATACGCAGCTCGTAGTTCTGCTGAGGAACAAAGATCAGCTAGAAGCTGCACCACTTCAATGTGCTCTGCGTTCACTGCGTTCTTCAACGCCCGACCGACGTTTGCTTGTCGAAGCCTCACAGTCAACAGGAGCTTCACCACATCCGCGAGACCTTTGGAAGCGGCTTCTTCCAGAGCGCGACCCACGTAATACCAACTGCAATTCTCGCGTAAAACAGCTCGTAACGTGCTTGTGTCTCCACTGGCTGCAACGACCTGCACGCCATACGTAATCACGTACGGCTCGGGGTTGGTTTGCGCTCGGTTACGACGACACAGCCACTTGACCACCTCCAAATGGCCATTTCTCGCTGCCATATTTAACGCTCCACTCGAACACCGTCCAACGTAATGAGTGCAAAGCCACTTGACCACTTTCAGGTGGCCATTCCTCGCCGCCCCATCGATTGCAGCACTTGTGCACCCTTCATTTCGAACCACAGACAGCCACTTGACGAGGTCGAGGCGTCCTCGAGTCGCTGCCCCGTCCATCGCTTTCGTGGTCCACTTACACGTAGCTCCAAACGTGTGAACAACGTATTGGCAATCGTTGTAGACGGCGGCGTCGATGGCCTCGGGTTTCAGCAGCTCGTTGATTCGAAGAACGGCGTGGGATAGCGCCTTGATTCGCTCTGGCAAGGATACCGAGACGCACACGAGCTGAGGCTCCTGCATAGTTGAGCTGCTTTGTTAAAAAATGACCACTTTAATTAAGATACCGGGGGCTTATTCACGGCCATCTTGTTTCTTGGGACGTGACGATTGATCTTCTCTGCGATCTACCGTGTCTATCTCGCGAACATGAAGGATGGTAGACTACTGTCACCTGCCGAGAGCTCGACAATAACTAACACGCTTCGGTTCGAGAACATTTCGCAAATACAAATCTTATTTTTTAATAATTCTGAAGGTATCGGATATTTATTGCTTGGTTGGCGACACTAGAGGAACGAATGCAGGACTTGTAGGAGCCATTTTCTCGCTGGTGCCCATTTCCAGCTCCACAACGGCGTCCAGCTCACTATCGCCTGGCGAAATGTGTCTGCTGGGGCGGTAAATGTAGCACAACGTAAGCTGGATAGCAGTCAGAGTAACCCCGACAATGTTTGGTACGACGATAAATAAGTCATCGTCGACGATTCCATTGACGAGCCACAAGCTGCTGTTGACAAAAATGATGCTACAGAGAATCACGGGGATTGCAGCAGACGACTTGGTCTCAAGCACGAGCTTGATCTTCTCAAACGGTGACGCGTACAAGGCGAAAGTCGTCACATTCGCCAAATAGCCGAACACGTCGCCTAGTTGGTCTCTCGACTGATGAATCGCCCCAACCGCAACTAAAACTGCGTAGATAGTGACCAGAACGAAAGCAGTTGCACCCGGTACAAGGATTCTCATCATGTACGCTCGGTCGGGACAGTATTTAGCGTAGATTGCAACGTAGAGAGCCAACACGACATCACCAAATACACAGACGGAGAACAGCGGGAAAATATTCTTCACCACGTAGGCGTAGATCAACCTGACAAGTAGAATAGCGCACCACGATTAGTGGAGCTGGTGAAGGTTAAAATGAAATCTGAATTAAATAAAGTGAGGGCGTACCAAACATGGTTGCACAATAGCAGCATGACAAGCGGCATGAAAGCCATAACGCCGGTGTCTCTTTGCTTGTGAACACGGTACAGGTCCGGCACCGGACTCAGTCGCTGAGCGATTTGAGCGATTGTAGTCAGAACCTTGATCGTTGTGATGAACGCAGACACCATTTCGATATTTTGGAGCTCGAACAACAGAGCTGAATTCGAAGTGAGAAGGGAGCCAAGCGACATCGGCAGACCCACGAACTCATCTAAACAGTCGCGAATTGTACCGAGTAATCAGAAAAATGAGATGAGCGTGCAAATCCCACGGTCACTATCTTCAAAGCACGAACTCCAACCATTCCGGTGATACAGTAATAGGATACTCAGTCACTGTACACAGTCAAACACATTCCACAAGACGTCTTTTCTTTATTTTAATAGAAGGAAGAGTTGCTTTTACTATCGACATGTTCGTTAATGATATGTTCGAGTGAGTGTTAAGACTCGAATTGTCTGTGAGTTCGACGTCAGAGAGTTAAAGAGTGTACATGTATTCATCCAAGGTTTCAAATTACGTGGAAGTTATACTGGGAAAACCGAATATAATGAGCCTCGCGGCTTTAATTCCACGGTACTGCGTAATGTCATGTAACCTCAGTCAACATTCGTACAACATGCAGGTTGCTGCGCAACTCGGCTTGTTCACCAGCCTCAATGTGTCGTACATCATTCTAACGAGAAGATCACGAACCAGATGATGGGTCTCGTCGCTAGTCAACACCTACCATTTTTCCGTTTTGATTCACACTTCAGGATTTGCCATCTTCTCGACACTGGGGGTGGTGTCTCGAGACCCTGGGGCCTTGTTGCCGGGAGTGATTCACCATCAAGAGCAGACTCCGAGATCATTGTCCTTTGACATTGAGGGTTTCTACTCTTGTTTCTGGAGTGCGCAGTGGTTGAGAGGATGATTAAGCGCCCCGCGTCCGTAGTATCGAGTGAAGAAGACCTGCGAGAACAAAAGCGACGGCGCAAGGCACAATACATGCGCGAGTATCGTGCAGCTCGGAGGTTAGCTGATCAATCCCGTGTCGATGCAGACCAAGCCAAGGAGAAGCGGGACCAGCACGCGACATACAAGCACCAATATCGGGTCGAGCAAATGAACAACAGTAAGGTCAGCGTATAAATTATAATAATAAGTGAGGTGTATTGTGTTACCAGCCGTGTCCAGTCTAAACTCAAATACCCATTCCCGACTTGCTTGCTTTGCCTGGTCGGGCTGTACCTACTCAGCCTGTATCCTGCTGCTTCTTCTTTGTTTGCTATGACGCTGCTTGTTCCCCGTTTTCGTCCCTCTCGCTTTGCCATTGCCTGCAGTCACCTTCTATCCAATGCTCCACCATTTGACGTAGTTCATGCCCCTGCTCCTCCTCGCTAGCTCCGTATATTGCACTTTTGCCTGTGTCCATGGAATAATTTGCCAGCCAATCTGCGGTTTTGTTGTGCCTTCGATAGTGATGTTTCCACTCCGTGATCTGCAATTGATCTGCTAGCTTCCGTTCAAGTCCATACCAGTGCTTCAGCCGCTTCACTTAGGCTCCTTTCTTCTCTTCAAGAGGCCCAATATCATCGCGCTGTCCCCGATCACCTGGATACCCCTCCATTTCCTTGCCGCTGCTTCCGCTAGTAGTCGCTGCAGCCCCACGAATTCTGCCACGTTATTTGTCATGTTTCTGCTGTTCAACGATGTAGCTGCCGCCAACACCACCTTATACCTTTCTTCATCTCGCTTCCATTCCACCAATGCGCTGCCACTTCCGCCAGGACCGGGATTCCCCCTGGATCCGCCATAAAAACCCCAGCAATGTTCGCCCCTCCGTCCCTTCTGGACATCCTTCGCTTGGGCGTGCCTCGGCCCATTGCCTTCTAATTCTGTCCACCACCATTAATTTCTTGTGCGTATGTTCGGCTAGCGGGAACAGCCCCGCCCTGTATCTGAGTAAGGATTCCTGCAGCCTTGCCTTTGTCCGTTGTATTTCTTTTGCTTTCGTGGGCCGGGAGTTCCCGTCCGGGAAGCGTTCTGCTACTTTCCACCTCAATAGTGCTGTGATCATCGTCGCACATCCCATTGTTCACACTGCTGCAGCTACTTCGTATATTTCGTTCCATGTTTCCTCTTTTTGAGCATTGCCCCAGTCAATTAGCCATGGAGGCAGTTTGCTCAGTGTTAGCGCGAAAATGTCTTGCATCGACTCCTTATCGGTGTCCGCATCACCACTCGGAGCTGGCATTTCCCACATTGCCAGCATTTTCCCCCATACTGCTCTGGCGTCCGGGCACTCCCACACTAAATGAGCTTGTCCTTGTGATGTTTCATTCGCACACCTTGCACCGGCGCACGCGTATTCCTCTGTTTTTCCTCTCCAGAGCCGGAGTCGCCCCATCTTCATTCTTAGTACATTTTGCTTCTGATACGCCGTGACTCCGTGCATCCGATGTACTTGCTTCCATTTCAACTGCTTGATGGCCCTGTAAAGAGCCTTGTTCTCCTGTGCTAGTTTGTTATTCATGAGATCCTGCACTTTGGTTGCTTTGCTCCTGCTGCCTTTCTCAATGACACCTTTGCATTCTCTCCGCGTCCTGCACCATCTCCTCTTCCCCGCCCATACTGGCCGCATGTGGGTCAGTGCAGGGTGGGGCGTTACCCAGACCGCTTCTTTTTGCGTTTTGAGCAGCGCCGCGATGTTTGCGCCGATTTCCTCATTGCTACCCCCCGTTTTGACTTCCTGTTCCTTGAAGGCCCAATCTATGATGGACTCTGGCTCCTGCTGTAGACTGCTCCACCCAAAATTGATGGTGCGGGTCCTCTATGTCATACTTCACACGTAATTTGTTATCATCGGCTGGTTTGAAGACGAGCTCCGGGAATTGAACTAGCAGCGAAAGTCCGAGCTCGCGGAACATATGTGCCTGTCGGCTTTCCATAGGCATCTTCACAGTCTGCGGTTCCAACACGACTTTACCATATCCGATATAAGATATCGTTAAGATGTCCTTGAGCGATTGCACCTTGTGTCCATCTAACAGTTTCTTGTAAGCCGTCCATTTCTGTTGTGTACCCCTCGAGTCTCTCGGAATTAACTGCTTGTTTTGCAATTCTTGTACAGCTTGGTGGATCATTTCGCCCCTTGCTTTCTCCCGCCTTTGCTTGGCGATCGTCATTCGTCCCAAAAGTCTCGATTCCAAATGGCACATCAGTCCTGGTTGCTCCCATCGTGTCTTGAGCCCCATGGCATGTTTCATTTCCTTCCTAAGGGAAGCCGCCTCTTCATTTTCGAGGTCTATCTTCTCTGGAGCGAAAACCGTCTCCACCATCGGTGTTCCAATAGTCCATAAGCCCGCTTTCCATTTAGTCTTTGTTCCTTCTTGTGTGGGCATGATGTGCCCTATGTGTAACCCCTCTTTGCTCTGGAGCAGCCTGCCCGCCACTTGAG